TAATTTTAAATTTTGTTTACACTATTCAAACAAATTGCTTTAAATGCATGAATTTTAAATTTTAAATTTATATTTAAATTCATCCATATAAACGCTATCTTTCTATTATGAGCCATGACATTAGCAATTAGGTTAATAACCTGGTAGCTCCCAAATCATTGAATACGTTGAATCTGAGTCTTTGATATGGTTTTGAAATCCCTGGTAACATATGTTTCCCAGGCATAAAAGACTTTGACGCTTTCATCCGCAAGCTTTTCAGATGAAATATCAGCCCAACAACTCCTCTTCCTCTTCTTGCCCAGTACTACGAGAGTTAACCTTGTGTGAATGTGATTGGAACATCGAGAAAGTTACTATGAAAATTCCGACATTAACAACCTTAATCATTGAAGATGATGGGCATGGGTCTTCTGATAAACCATCACTCATCTGTGAAGTCGCGATTGATTCTGTGGACCTCGCATCTTTGAGTTGCATTGATTATAATCGGTGGGTAGAACTTGTCCCGATTAACCTAACCTCATTAGTTGAAGCTAGTATCGATATTTGGGAACGTGTAAGTGTTGATCGAGCAGTATAATTTTTGAACTCAATTTGTCAAGTCAAGTCTCTTCAGATCTCGGAAGAAACTCTCATGGTATGTATGTAACGTGTCAATTCCCACTATATTTACTTAAAAGTGTCTGTGAACACTCCCTCTGATTCCAGTACGTTAAAATCTACCTTTTATTTTTTTGGTTAGGCTCTTTGTCATGAATCAGAAGATCACCTGCTATGGTCTTATGTGTTACTGCTGTTCATATTTATAAACTTGTTTGTTGGTTATATAAGTTTTAGGGATTCATGAAAGAAACAGATTGGAGCAGAATGCCTCATTGTTTGAAGTATAGTCTCAAGTCATTTAGCATTTCAAATTCTGATGGAAGTTCAGTTGACATGAAATTCCTAAGCTTCTTATTAAAGAACGCGACCTTTATAGAGAGAATCGAGATATTCTGTTTACAAAGCTTATCGTCGGATTTGAAAAGGCTGGCGGAAATGCGAGATCAGTTGGAAGAAATGTGAGGAGGTCTTTTGAGTTGTGCAATTGAGCTTCGGACACCGTCTTACAGGATGTGGAGGGAATCGTGTGGGATGCTGGAACTAACAATTTTCCATTATATTAATTCAAAATACAAATCTTCTTTAATTTTCAAATGTTGCCGGCGATGTTCTCTATCGTTTTGAATTAATAACAATTATTCTTGTATTTTTATTTGCTTCTATCTCTGCTTGATAGAGCAGAGCCCATGCACGAGCTTTTCACTTTTTCTTCACCCTCGCAAGCGGCTTCCACCGTGTTTTTTTTTTTTATTGAAAAAATTAATCATTAAGTTTTTCAACCAAATTATAATTTACCCCTTAAATTTTAACTCGTTGTAATTTAATTTTTTATAATTTTAACTTAGTTATAATTAAGTTTTGAATTTTACATTTTATAACTCAATCCCTATAGTTTCAACAGATTTAATATTGATCCTTGTATTTTTAAAAATAAAATTGTAAAGATTAAAAATATTTTAAATTTTTAATATTTATAAAGATTAAAAGGGTATTAATAATGACTTTTAATATAATTTTAATATTTATAATTTTTTTTAATACATAGGGACTAACATTTAAATAATTAAAATTATAAGGACTAAGTTGCAAAAATTAAAATTTAAAGATTGAGTTATAACCGAGTCAAAACTTTAAAAATTAAGGTATAATGAGTCAAAGTTTAATGATTAATTTAAAATTGAGTCAAAATTATAATAACCAATGATTTTTTTTTTTTGGTTGGTTTCTTCAGCATCACTAGTGGTCTTATAAACAATCTTGAAATTGGAGAGTGGAAACGACAAGTTGAAATCTTCTAAAGTTTCTTTTGACAAGTTGAATGACCTGAATTATACAAATGTGGAACAGTTGGGGAAACAGTGCATCGTCCGCAGTAAAAATCGAGAGAACAAAGTATAAGGTGCAAGAGAATAATCTTAGATCTGATCAATGTGTATGGAAGCATATCCATTGAGCACTTTAAATTTGGGCAGTAATCCAGAATTCCCTGGCAGTACTTGTAGAAGATTGTTAATGGCGTGCCGTGTTGTATCCTGATTCTGACAAAGCTAAGGGACTTCTTGTTAATAATTCAATATGAAATTCTCCTAAAAAATTACCTTTTTACATCCTATCCAGCTCATGCCAATCCCATCACCACATTACAGAGCCTTTTCTATCATCTCTTTGCCAATCCCTCTCCGACGTCACAATTAGAGGGAAATTTCTGTCACAGGGTTGCATAATCCTTCACTTTCTATTCCATCAAAGGATGAGCCAAATGGTAACCTACTTGCCAAACCCTCACCATTTGAATTCTGATTTTTTCCCACTCCAACTTTGAAATGGTTTGACAAGCCATTTTCAATAGTTGTTAAGCTTTCTCTTCCTTATATTACAGGTTGGCATCCTTTGAATCAAATGTGTTTGAAGATTATTATTTTCATAGTTTGAAGAGGGTTGTGTTACTGTCACTCTCACTTAGGCATAACAAGCAATTATTAAAATTAGAAGTGTTGCCTTGATTGGACATACATGCACCTCACATTAGACTTTTTGTATAAATATCATTTAGACACACTTAAAGTTAGTAGATTATTGGATATACATACAACCTGTAAGATTTTTTTTTTTTTGCAATAGGTTGTGAAATTGGTGTAATTACATGTGAGATGCATGAAGCTATAAGCTATGAAGTACTGATACTTCTAATTGCCTCACGCATCCATATTGATATTGTGTCTAATACTGATATTCGCTGATATTTCTTCAATACATATTCATAGAGTATTGAAATGTTATTTTTTAATTTTAAAAAAATTTTATTTTTTGATATGTATTCAATACTTCTAAATTGCTATTTGATACTTTAAAGTCGATACTTCAAGACTACTTTTAAGAAATTAAATTTTATTAAATATTGCAATATTAAATTTTTTTTGTTTCTAATATATTTTTGTGATTTCCTTTCAAAGTCAAAGATTACATTTTTTTTTTCAAAATAATAAGTTTTAGATATAATAAAAAGATAAAAATTATATTTTTAATTATAAAAATGTAGACATATAATTTTTTGATATATAAACCCTAAGTATAGAATTATCAACAGAGAAGGGGCTAGGTAATTAGGTAGAGATAGAGTAAAAGTATAATTAATAATTATTGTTTTGCTTGGTATTACTATAAAGAACTATAGCTGAAGATTTCAAAAATAGCTTAGCAGTGATTGAAATGGACTATATGGAGTTGTTCTCAGCTATCATCACCAAAAGCACGTCTCATTGCCATTGGAATTGTCATGGCTTGCTGACTGATTTCTTGGAAAATATCAGATTGAAAGACCTACTCTCCTTTTCCTGAGGGAAACACTGCAGTTGACTGAATAGCAGCTAACTCTCTAAAAGGTGTGGCTCTCCATGGTTGGATCCTTCAACCTCCACGCCTTCTCCTTGACATACCGTCATCTGATATAGTTATAGAGCAAAGTGACTCCCCATAGCCTATGACCATCAGGGACAAGGAAGGGATTGGCTAAAGTTTGTGGCTTTGTTTCTTGCGTTTTCCAGGCCTCTGCCACTTGGGCTTAGGGCTTAGTCTTGTCTTTTGTTTCTTTGTTTTTGCAGCGTTGTTTTATATCTATCTTGTTTGACTTTCTCTATCTTTGATATATGCCTCTTTCACTGTTGGTCAAAAAAATAATATATAATATATATGCTAGGTTGGATATTTTTTAAATTAAAATTATATCTTTAATGTTTTTATAATTTTTTTATAACTATATTTGCATGTATCAGAAACATATTACATCCTACATTTTTAAAAATAAAAGTATCGACAATTTGCGCAACATAAACTGTAAATATATTTTGAATACATTCTAATATTAAGTTATACATTATGATATAAAGTCAATTATCATTTCCTACTCTCTTTTTCCTAACCTGTCATTTATCAAATTGGGTATAAGGCATTAAAATGTTTAAATTTCAATTGGGAAGTTTCATTCGTTCAGTAAGTTTTAGTAACAAAGCTATAATTGATTTAATAAAGCTCTAATTGCAATGTTGTCAATTGGGTAACCCAATGTGAAGTTGTAAGCTGCAAGTTGTAATATATGTTGTCATTACAAGCGCCCTTAGTTGGCATTACAAGCACCATGACTTGTCATTGTAGGCACTCTAACTTGTTATTGCCCTGCTGCTAAGTTGTCATCTATTAAAGTGGGTGTGAGCCGTGCAAGTGTTTGAATTTCTATTTTTAAGTTTCATTCCCATCATTAACTTGGGTGCCAAAGCTTTATCATAAGTTTAGAAACGTCTAAAACCTTAAAACTTATTTTTAACACAATTATCCCTTTTAACTTTTGAAAACAGGACAATATTACAACTACAGTTGACAGAAATCAATTTTAATTGTTAATTAACCAAAAAATAATTAAAAAAATTATAAAAAAGGACCCCAAAAGGCAAAAATAAAAACAATGCCCCAAAAATAACAAAAAATGACAAAAAAATATCTTGGTCTTTTTTTATCATTTTTTATTCACCAAATTGTCAAAATTAACGGCCAAGAAAATTGCCATAATTTAAAATGTTTAAAAGTAAAAATGCACGAAAAATGTGTTTAGAATTTCATTTGTTTTTGAGCTTGGAGTTTATGAGCCAAATTGTCATTTTAACCATTATTTAATTACAATATCTCAATCTTATGGTTTCGATCCTTTGTATATTATGCATTATGGATGTCCTAAGCGTTAAAAAAGACCAGTTTTGGTCAAGAGAAAGAATCAAACTTTCCATGTTTCTCTCGTCACTTTAGCATATACGATGACCAAGCCTTTCTACAAGCTGATTTGTGATGAGCAGGCTTGACCGTGTCATCATCCACTGTCATCCGAAAACTCATAAGACAAGTCGTACAAACAAGATAACTGCAATTTCCTTTGAAATAGTAATACAACATGAGGCCGTCGGTCTAACTGGAATTGTTCTCTGTCTTTTTATTTTTTACGGCAAACAGAAAGGGAAACGGCGAATTTGTAGTTGTAATCTGGTATAAGCAATTAAACCATAAACCTTCATTGATGTTCAGGAGTTGAAATCCTACGGGTGTTGTACGAACCGCATTGCCCGCACTTGTGACCTAAAATGTGAAAGGACACAACGCTGGGGGTATTGCAATCATTGCACAGAATCGAGACCTGTAAGATATACAAGCAACCCAGTGGTTAAATTTTGTTTTACAAGAGCAACCTAAAATGAGAAACTTCCAATATATTCCCCCCATTCGCCTTTTCCATTTTATTTTCTCTTCTATATATGCTCAGGGTCAGCGGTGTCCTATAACTATATGTATATGATGCTTTCAATCATGTCATGCAGAAAGCGTACTATGAATTTGTTTAGAATTCAAACAGGATTTAATAACTTGTCTAGTTATGCTCTTAGAAGACCAGCCAAGAGAGAATAACAGAGATGTAAGTAACAACCTCAATCTTATACTCCTGAGGCATCGGAACAGCTTCAATCTGTCAACATAAAAAATAACCACATCAAAATAGAATCATCCAGCTTCATTTATCGGGCCACGATCATCAAGATCACAAATCAGAGTTCAAAGTAGCAATCACTTAATGTTCAGCAGCATGGAAAACGTCAAAAAGTTAGGAAAATTATGGAAGAGCACGAGAGACCCCAAGTCCAAAAGAATAGATGCCCTTGACAATCCTTTAGAAAGCACAAAAATAAAATAAAGGATCAAGGAAGAACGTTGAAAGGTCTGTGCATGAATGATACTTCTTCCAATCCTTAAGAAACATTAGTAATAAGTAATAGTTACGTGATCTTCACGGACGTATGCAGTACAACTACTACTGTTATGAATCAATAAACAAGCTGGGAAATAAAAAAAAAAAAATTGGTTCTGACTAACTAATTGGATAAGGATATTTTGGCGCATCTTTGAATCTTAAAGGACAACTGATTTTGCCAGATTCATAGTTTGGAACTGTTGGCTAGGTGGGCTGTTTTAATAATGATTTCGAAGTCTTACAGCTAAACCACACGATTCAGGGGGCCAAGGCGGATATGGGCAAAATCAAAGAATGTAATCAAGAAGTAATAACTTGAAAATGTAGTCAATGTGAAAACAAATAAAGATGTTGCACGGAAAATCTATGATTTTTTTTTAACAAAAATTCAAACACAGCTGAATCATTGTTACCTTTTATTTTAAGGTACGGATCAGAATCCTAAGTCAAGACAAATCCATTGGTTTTTTAAAAAACGAAAATTAAAGAATATAAAAAGGGTAAGCTGGAGCACAGATAACCTGAGCTAGAAGGTTTTACAATTTCTATATTAAAAAAATGCTGTGATATCATTAAGCAAATATTCATTTCTTTGTTTCTGTGCTACAAGCTAGCATACATTACAGTCAACCAACAACTACTGGAAACCTGAAATTGTGAAGTTAAACTAAAAATGTCACCAACATCCTTCATGTTTTCACCCTCTGGAGTTCCCTTGTCCTAGGGTGGTCTAAACCCACTTCTGTTCAGGAGATCCTGAAAAGAAGGGGAAATTCGATAAGAGAGAAAGGTTATAAAAGGTTTGCACACCTCAAGATCTAGATTTCTCCAATTCTGCGACATATTGAATATCGACTTCAAGCAGACAGGACAACGGTACCTGAATGGTAAAACAAGAGCCTTTTACCAATGATGGATGGTAAAACAAGAGCCTTTTACCAATGATGGACTCTGTTTATCTAAAAGAAATAGGTATAAAAAAGAATTTGGTGTAAAGTAAGCTAACTGATTTTGGGCTTCCATCTCTTGAAAGCATTCCATATGCATCGTATGTCCACACCTCATAATTGTGGTGCCTTTAATTGAGTCAAATAGATACTAGGAGAAGAGACCAGTACTGTCAGAAAATATTTGACCATGATGGTTCTAAGAAAATGAGGAGCTGGAAGAACTACAGCATAAACCTCATAGCAGACAGGGCAGTGGCTTTTCATTGAGTTCTCTACACATAAGTGATTATTTTTCAGGCCCACTGCATAGCAAGATCCTGTACTCATACAAAACAAAACAAGAAATAATATTATACTCGTAAAAACCAAGAAGCTAGCATGATGTTGGTAAGGGGGCACACCACATTTCTGACAATGAAAGTAGTTATCACGACCACCAACCCTAAAAATAAGGAAGTTTGTTATGACATACAGTTCAACATTTCATAAGAAAATGATCTAAACAATACAACCAAATTATAGTGAATCTAAACTGGACGGGTCATTTCATCTTGTGAATGTGATTGCTAACCTGCAAATACCACATTCCTCGCAATGGAATTGCCCTTTATCTGTCTGCAACAAAAGAAACAATAACTCAAACGTTGGTACAAAAGATAAAGAAATAAAATCTCAATGCAGTTCACTTCATCCAGACTAGATGGCTCATTTGAAAAAAGCATCTTACATCATCGTCATAGAATTTGCAAATCTCGCAATAATATTCTCCCATGTTGACACCACAATTAGAACACACTTTGGCAACCTGAATTATCAAGTGAAAGAAGAATTAGAAGTTAATTAGATTCAATCCTGCTAAATAAATCACAATAAATGAGACATTAATTACCTCCTGCTCAGCATCACAGACTGAACATATAACCTGAAATAACCAAACGCACGACCACGTTTTTTCAAGAAGCAATACCGACAACAAATAAAATAGAAAAAAAAACATATATAAAATGTCAATAATTGAAGGCAGAGTTAGGGGGGAAAAGGCAAAGGCAAGCTTCTTACTTGCTTAACATCACGTCTGACCAGTTCATGGCGCTCTTTGGGGTTGTCAAGAGAGCTCTTTATCACATAGACAACAGATTTCATTTCAAACAATGGAAAAATTAAAGGAATAAAACACGTTGGAAATTTCTAATAGATAAATACAAAAGAAGGGACAATGAATTTTCGGATATGAATGATACACAGTCTAGAAATGCATATAAATGAAGGTAAATATAAGAAAGGAAGAGAGGGACAAGAGACCATGGCCTCGTTGTGGCAGTGACGACATGGGAAGATCTGGTCACAGCACGGAGCTCGAATTTTGCACCTTCTCTTGTAGTGCTCGCATCTAGACACGGGCTAGTAACATCAGAGCCGGGGGAAAACATAAACAATGAACGCAACAGAAATTGAAACAAGAATCGAAATATTGCAGAGTCTGCGATGGTGAAATTACCCATGCTGCAACATTCCAAAGTGCTCTCTGTCTTGCGTTGAAGGGTCTTCCATCGATTGGGAGTAAGGGCGAGGAGGACGACAACGACCAATTTGGTTAAATTCAGAATAGGGCCAACAAATTGAGATGCAGATGCTGCCGCAATCGCCATACACTAATTTTATTTTATTTTATTTCATTTTTGGGCCAGTAAGTACTTCAGGTTCCAAGGGATAGTTTCAGTGTAGGACCGTTCATGGGTTTAATATCCAGTCAGGATCCACAATTTGCCAACCGTTTTCATGATCGTCACAGGGAAGGTGAACGGTGGAAATTTTGGAGATAATAAATAAATATTATTGACATTAAACATGGATCATTTTTAAATAAAAATTAGAACTATTAGGCTACTATTCTTTTCTTTTTGCCAAATGATTCTTTTGTACTGACTGTTTAATTTTGAAATTTAAAAAAAAACTACAGTTTATTAAAATTATTCAATTGTTTTGGCCAAATATATATTATTCAATTTAATTTCAAACTTTTAGCCCCAAAAAAATTATAAAATTAAATGATGGAGAAGGATTAATTTTTATTTTTTTTAAATATACCTTTCGATATTTCCAACTTGATTTGTAAAAACCAGGATTACATACTTAAGACTCAAAAGAGTTTATATGCTTTCGATTGTATGATCATATGCGAGAGAATCACATCCAAAACCTGACAAAAAATTTATTTACAGACAAAAAATTATACTGTATTGCAGTTCAAAGACTGGAGATTGGATTCATTTGGTGGAACAGTAAGATTGATAGTTCCTTAACTCTCGAAAATTTAATTTGAAGCTTAAAATGTGAACAGAATGTAATCGATCTTCATCTACAAGAGACATAAATTTCAAGCGTGTTATATATACGCATATATATATATATATATATTGAAAACAAAATGAGAACGTAAATTTCAAGCTTATAGTAGAGACTAGATTTAAAGACAATATATATATATATATATATATATCATGCATGTTTTCAAAATTAAAAATATCATAACTTCAAAACTAATATAAATTTAAAGGCATTACACTGGCGGAGGAAATTGTAAAAAGAAAATAATAAATAATCTCAAATGATTTTTTTGTTCTAATTTGTTGTTTTCACTTTTATCGTCCAAGTTCGACAAGTGCCATGCAAAGCCTGCTTTGAATATCTCTGAATGCCCAGACTTCAACCGTTGCTTTAGCTTTGAGCCGGTCATCAGAAACTACTGTGTTCCAACCACCATTTAGTACATATTGTGAGCTCACTTTCCTAGGATCATCTTTGTTTTGATGCAAATTCCATTGTCCGAATTTTAGTATCGTCTCAGTGAGAGGACAAGATACCCCATTCTCTCTCGGCCTATGAATCAATGGCACTCTAATGGTTTCTTTTTGCCTAAGGAGTGTAATCTCACTGTCTTCCAAGAACTCAAAGCTCTCTATTTGATTACAAGGAATGGTGAGCCTGCCATGTCTTTTACTTGTGTCTGTTTCGTGTAAAGTCTTTTGGATGAGACGAAAGAGTCGATTTGGTCTTGAACCACCACATCTGTTAATAATTTCTCTTTGAAATTCTTCTGGCAAGTTTGACGGTGACGCACTTGAATCATCTTGCCTCTTGCTCTTCTTATCCGTCATACACTTTACCCATTCTTTGCTGTCCATTGTCTTGAACGATTTCCTTTTTGAGTTGTTATCTTTCTGTGGAGATTTTTCCTTTGTTTTCTTCACAACTTTTTTCTCATTCTTCACTAATGATTGTTGGCCCTTTTCTTTGTCCTTCAACTTCTGAGCAGCAACTTCCATAACAAGTACCAAAATTTCATAGCGAGTTGAATTTGGATTCAATTTTTTGCCTTTGAAATCTTCGAGAGTTAATAGATTAGACATTCTTAGCTGAGCGATGGAGGAGCGCTTTTCTGTATTGTACAAAAAAAAAAAAACAAGAAGCTTAGTTTTAATTAATCATAAATTAATTTTATGAGAATAAATATACATGCTCTCTGCGTGGCATCGTAGGATTTCACGTTTTGATGTATTATTAAAAAAAATTATTCAATTAAAAATGAAGGCAGACTCTAAACTATACCGTTTCTTACTATCCCAAGAAAAGAAATTAGCGATAAAATTATCCTGTTTATGTGATTGAAGAAACATACTTTTCATTATATTAGTATGAGAATAAAAAACAGATCAAGATATACTGTGTGATGATAAAGAAAAAATATATAATATTTGAACTTTTCATATTTGAAGCTATAATTTTCCAAGAAAAAGAGAAAATAAAAAAAATATTGATGCAGCTCTCAAAGTGTTTGGATACGACGGCTTTAAGAGCACGATGATGTGCTTTTAAGTACTAACTAAATTTTTTTAAAAAAAGGACAGTGATATTATTACCTCAAGCCTTTGATTCTCACAGGGTCAGATGGAAACTGGAAATTCCAATATAACGTCAGGCTGTAGATCTGAAAAGAAAATGAAATTTAATATAATAAAAATAAATACGACGTTACTTGAATGGGGAAAAATCACCAATTAAAAAAAAAAAAAAGAATGAAGAGTAAAAGCGCTCCAGCTTGCCTCGAAGGCTTAAGGACGAAGATCATACAAGGGACTTCACTTCTCGAATGTTCCGTACGTGAAAGAAAATGCTCACGACTCACGAGTGAATACAGTGTTGGAGGGGAGCTAAGAATAAATAGTGAGATTTAAACAAGTTTAAGATCAGATAGGATATTATCGGATAATTATTTTCTTTCAACGCGATCCCGATCAATATTTCAAGCTAATAAAATTTATCTTAAATCTCAACGTACCTTTAGTTAGAAATTATTATTATTATTATTATTATTAAATAAATAAATAAATGAAACGGTATCTTGTGTGTATTGGTGTGCAGAACAAATATTGATTATTATTAATATTTAAAATATTATATTTTGACCCCATATTGAAAAATATAAAAGGTAGATTTCTTGCCTGAATCTTGAATTAAAGGCCACTTTAATCATTTAATTTATTAAATATTTATGATAATTTTTAAATTTAAATATGCTATTAAAAATAGGGAGAATGACAATCCCAAACTATAAAATTGATAACAGTTAATTTTTGACAAAAAATTTTAAAATAAATTGTAAATATTTAATCAATAGAGGTTGGATTTAATAGAAGAGGTTAATTTTTCACAACTGTTCAGATTAAGATTTGAATCTTTATTAGAAAAAACTGTTCATATTTAATACTAACCTTGGTGATAAAATAAAGGTAACCTCTAAACTATATCGTTTCTCACTATTCCAAGAAAAAAATTGGCAATAAAATTATCCTCTTTATGTGATAAAAAAGCATCCTTTGCATTATATTAGTATGAGAATAAAACAGACCAGGATACACCGTGTGATGATAAAGGAAAATATATATATATATATATATAATAATTTAACTTTTCATATTACTTAGAATAAATATCATTAAAAGCGCATTTTGTTTGAAGCTATAATTTTCCAAGAAAAAGAGAAAATAAAAAAGAAAAAATATTTAGTAATAGTACTGTAATTCTATCCACCTGAAATGAGGTCTTCTGCAAGACTTGGGGACTCAATTTCGATGGGGAGGTCCTCCAAAAAGCTACTTTTAAAATCACAATCCCCTGGTATCTGAATGAAGGCCCTCTTAGTTCCATCATCATTTTCAGTAATAGTACTGTAGCAAATGAATTCTCAATCTGGTTCATTTACTGAGAACAACATTTAAGCTCAACTACTGTAATTTCAGCTTGCTGTTTTTTCAGCTTCTGCAGAAGCATGTAATGAATTGATGGCATATTCATTAATTTTATCTTCTTGTTGCTATACTTGCTGCATAAGGAGGAGGCTTCAGGATGTTCAACATCACGGTACTGCTTCCCATCTGTAGACATGATTTTTTGGGTACTTTTCTGACTGTTTCTTGATTATATAATTTTCAAGTTGAGTTTTAGAATATACAATTTCAGATTGTATATCTGTTAATATTTGGAAGAAAAAAAAAGCTAGACTTTTATTATATTCATACTTGTTAGCATTTTTTGGCTCCGATAGATATGTTTCATAACTAACTGTTGCATTCCATGGCAGGTTGGGTATATTGATGATTTTCTTTCTCATTTGATGTGCTGCTGCGCGCCTTTGTCCAAGAAGGGAGAGAAAGTCCAGATTTGTGGGGCTTACTATTTAAAGCGTGAACTATTAACTAAGTGACTTTTACGTAAGAAATGGGCAAAAGAAGATGACATCGAGCAACGGCGTAAAGAGCCAAAGCAAATTCATTTCCTGCCGTCTGTACAAATAATAATAATAATAATAATAATAATAATAATACATAAATAAACAAAAAACGCTAGGGCTTGGTACTCTGGACTCCTTTAGCTGGGCTATTTGTTGTTTAGTATTGTTATTGGGCTTATGACCGTTGTTGGACTGAGGCCTTGTCTTTACAATTATTTCCCAAACCCTGTAAAGTATATTGGCATAAGCTTACATTTTGTTGCACGTTATATTGATTGATATTCATTGGCCATGTGTTTTTTCTCCTTAATTTGTTTGATTTTTGATTCTATCCTGAATTTATAGGGTGCATTTTGTTTTCTTTTATTTGCTTTTAACTATTGGCGGTCGTGTACTAATCTTAGTTTTGTTTTTCTGCCGGACGTCAATGTTCAATATGTCAGAGAATTGAGGCGTGCAAACCTTTAATAACCTTTCTTTCCTGTCTGATTTTTGCCTGTCGGTTAAATAAGTGAGACTGTGTTTTCATACTGATATTTCATTTGATAATATATTGTATATAACTTGCCTAAACGTGAATCTGGCCCCCTGAAAAGAATGGGGTTTTATATGGATCTGAGCAAGGCTTTGATCGAGCTATTTATTAAAGTGATGAGAGAACTGTGGAAAGTTTGGCTCTTCGGATTTCTGTGGGATGGAGCTTACTATATGCATGGGGTTAAACGAGAGAAAAGAAAGAGTAACCGATCTTATCTTCACATGAAGCCTGGGGTAAGAGGTCAGAGTCATAAATTTGTCACGTTTTTGTTTGACAGCAACGTCCAAAGATCAGAGAGAGAGAGAGTGAAGAGATTAGAGGAGCCAGTCGAGCAAGAGTTGTTATAAGATAAAGGATTGAACCAAAGGATAATGATTAAGAAGTAATGAGACTTAGAAAGATCACAAAATCTGGTTGACGACTCACTTTTGGACGGACGCCTTTCTGGTGATGCAAAGAGTTTCCAGCGACTTCGGCAGAAAGGTCTGGCTGCCCCCACACCCATAAATATCCCTTTTCCCACTTGATAATGATATGCTCCACTCTCAGCCCTTTTACTTTTCCTGCTTCTTCATGCTTTTATCTCGAGATATACAAATGTTACATCTTTCATCATTCATTTCCCATACCAACCCTGTTCTTAACAGTTTTCTTGGAAATTTGAACCACATAAATCCACGTCCTCATTTATCATCATTTTCTAACAAAAATAAGCCCTATGTACTGGAAATTTACAGTTTTGACCCATTGTATTGCTGAAGTAACAACCCTGGGATTGACTCTCGTATTGTCTCAGTGAAGTAATCTGCACTTTTTACCATTTTTCAGGAAAATGATTAAACGGAATCTGCATACTGTTAAACCTTTTTGTGTGCAGTGAAGTGCCTTAGTTGTAGGCTAATGACGGCATGTTTTTGGGAATACTGTTGCGTAGTAGTAGTATAATTATTACAGTTATTGTTATTATTGTAAAATAATGTCGATCCATTTTAATAAATTTATTATCATAATTATATTATATAAAAAAACTAAATTAAGTATTTTTGGAATGTCGAATTATTGAATAAACGAAACCAGTATGACCAGAGAAAATTTATTTGGCTGTGTAGGGAGTGACAAAAAACATTAAATATAAAAAAAAAGAAGTGATGCAGGAAAAAATTGTAATATTTATTTTTATTATTTTTATTCTTGATAACATCTATATTTACTATTGTGCTAAGTTACTAAACATATCCTCCTACTGGTGAGGTGAAGGAATTACTGTCACAACTTATAACAACTAGTTCCTTTCTTTCTTTTTTTTTTCTTTTTTATTGCTTGCCCCTCAAGTTTTGGGGAAAGCCTGAGCCCTTTCTCCAATAAAGTTCCTTGAATGGAAATGGGCAATCTTTTTTATAATTTAACTTCACCAAGCAACTACCGTAAATAGGTGTTTTGAATTTTTAATTCTTAATCTTAATAATGACTTTGACTTACAACCTGTCAACCAATGTCAAATTCTAAAGCAATAAAGTGAGTGGTGACGCCGTAGCAAAAAGTCATAACCAGCTAAAAGAATCTTTCCTCATATGTGTGTTCACTTGATTTAATATTCAAACTTTGTGTTAAACTTCAAACGATCGTTTTTACAGTGTAAGGAAAAACTAGGTTGAAGCATCGTTTTCAAACCTATTCGTGATCACCAAGAAATGATAACCTTTCTCGCGCATTCATTCGTTTTTATCCCAAAATTCTCCTTAGCGCTGTTTTAAAGCCATATTTCCACACCCTTTTCCTCTTCATAAATCTCAAGCCTTTCTCATTTTCCGAACATCGGAAAATATGAGTGATTCTCCGAAGCACCCGCATCCATCGGATAAAGATCAAGAGCCGAAAGCTCAACGGCTATGTGACTACTGTGGCGACTCCACTGGTTTGCTTTACTGCCGAGCTGATTCTGCGAAGCTCTGTTTCTCTTGTGATCGTGAAGTTCACTCTACCAACCAGCTCTTCTCGAAGCATACTCGAGCTCTGCTCTGCAATGCCTGCGACGGTTCGCCTGCCACAATACTCTGTTCTACCGAAAGCTGCGTTTTCTGCCAGAATTGTGATTGGGAACGCCACAACCTTTCGCTGTCTTTGGTGCACGATAGGAGGCCGCTCGAGGGCTTCACGGGGTGTCCTTCCGTGACTGAGTTGTTAACGATTCTGGGTTTTGAAGATTTGGGGAAGAAAACCCTGTTTTCGACTGAGGACTGCGGAGGATGTGGCGTCGGTGACGGTGATGGGTTAGTAGGATCTGAGCTTGAGGAGGGCCTTTCGGATTTGTTGGTATGGGATGCTCCTGCTGTTGTTAGTCTTGACGATTTGATAACTTCTACAGGCTCGTCTCACAATTATCAGGCCATGGAGGTTCCTCCTCTGCCTAAGGTATATCTAGACCTAAATTTTCTTCCCTTGTTTTGTCGCTGAGGGAACGGAAAATGCAATTGAAATTAAGCGTTCCAGATTTATGTCCTTTGGTATTAGTTTTTTCCCCGTTAGCGCTGCGAAGTTCAATTTTTAGATTAACTTCATCCTAGGTCTAAATTGAAGTCGATGCTGTTTTTTTGTCTTGGAAATTTCCCTATGCATTATGGGTTAAGAGATAAGTTATAGTACTGCCAACTAGTAACGTTGGTACGGAGATTGCATGTTTGTTGTGCTAAGTAATCTTCCTTGAGTTGTCTTCTTGGAAGTTGGAACTTAGACTACTTGATGCTTGAAAAACATTGAAAGTCTCTGTATTATTGCAATTTTGACTTGTTCAGGATATTGTTGTTGAATCAGAACCGGAAGGCTGCTTGTGGTCAACACAAGGAAGAAATCATTAGTCAACTTCGTGAGCTTGCAAAGTCGGAGCCCAGCTTGAATTTTGGAGATGTAGATACTGAACGACTGAGCACCAGGCACCCCACGGTCCCTGAACAGTATTTGCAGTTGGAAAGTTTTTCCACAGGCTTTGAACATGACTTCGAAGCTGATATTTTTGCTTCGTGCGAGGTAAAGCTTCTATCTGTTGGCATTTATCCTCATAATGGGTTCTTTCACAATCGTTTCCTATTAATTAGTCCATACAGTGTTTACACATGTATATGTGCATGCAAAGTATGTCTTATCACTGTATCATTTGGCTGCATTTGCATCTTATTTTGCTGTTCTTATCGTTTCTATTATTTGTGTAATCGGTGACAAATTGATTTCTGACTTGTCATTCAAGATTGGAACACCACTGAAGCATACTTGAGATTCTGCTTTAACATATCCTGCTCTATCGTAGTTCATGTCCCAGTTAACCCTGGACTGTTATCATTTAGAGTATGCCAGATTCTGAACTACTGAATGTGGCTTTCTTGATTATATGTATGACATTCCTGCTAATTAACAATACATGTGCAGACAAGTGTTTTTGAGGGGCCTAGAGATAGTGAGACTGCAAATCAAGTTGTTCGTCCTAATACGCCGTTGAGAACTTATAAAGAGGGAGTTCATGATTTACATTCAATTTCCAATGTCTGTGAGGGTCCTACCTATCTTAACAATGGTGGACAACTGCCAAACTCTTTTGACTCCGAAAACTTGTCCACCACGCCAAAAGTTGCTCCATATGAGCTGACAAGTCAAGAAAGAGACTCTGCGTTATTACGTTACAAGGAGAAGAAGAAAACAAGAAGGTACTGGGGAATCCGTTGTTTTTTATATATGCATAAGTCCGAGCTGAAATATTCCAGTCCAGGGTAAATTGCGTATAAGGACTAAATGGATGAAAATGTTGGGAGAAAGTTCTAAGCATTGAAGGTTTTTGAAGATGCATTGCAGATCTGCAATTGAGTTTCAAGAATCATCGATGCTTATTTTTAAAGATCTCTTGAGATTCATTGTAAATTTGGAATCTGTAATGATCTTCAAGTGTTGGTCTTTCCTTCCAAATTTTTCAATCATTTGCTCCTTATGTCCCAATAATCTAATGCTTTAAAAAAATATCCTTTGACTCATGACACTGAGTTTGATACCCTTTACGTGGAAAATAACAGATTCGACAAGCATATTAGGTATGAATCACGAAAAGTTCGGGCAGAAAGCAGGACAAGAATCAAGGGTCGTTTTGCCAAGATAGAAGAACACTGAAGTTGTTGGTATAACGTCAGAACTGCAATGTTTATGCAAGATTATTATTATTATTTTTTTCTACAAGCTATTTTGTACATAGTGAACTTGTATTTCATGTTGCATTAAACAATTATCCTTTGAGCTAGAGCTTTAGATGATATGTGGAGCTATTGTAGCGATACATAGAATGACAGTACAGTTTTTCCATGTAATGATAGTTTGGGAAGCTAAAGCTCAGTTTTTGAGGTTTTCAGGACACAATTTATAATTTGGCTGCATCTTGTTATAACGTGACTTCTTTGCCGATTTTCTTTTTTTCTTTCTCCCTCCTAGTCAAAATATCTACCAGTCAAAAGAATTGGATAAATGAAATATTAATTACCGTGTCAGCCAGGATCAGATCCTCTCTTGCAATTTGTTGCATTCATAAATGGTTCTCACTCCTGTAAAAACCCCTTGTTGGATGGGAGATTTAGAATCGAAAGGAGCCATTTGGTTATTTGATCTCGTTAAGGCCAAAATAGTGGCTGTTCTCTCCCTTTCTCGTCAGCTCAACCTCATTTGAGACTTGTGTACTTCTCTCCGACATGGCTTTACCTCTGATGAACTAGGTGACAAGAATGTATGTTCGTTGTTTAAGCATGCAGAGGGACGATCGATTTCTGTCTCGAACCACTATTTCTCTCAAGCTTCAAGAATTTTAATACAGTACACGTGTATTTCAAGTTACCGGCCATAGAGACCTAGTTGATTTGTGACTCGGGACACAACCAGAAAATTCCCATAGACAACCGACCCGGCTATGCAAAAACGCCTAATACACGACACCATGGTTAAGCTTTATTGTTCAAGAACTTTGCAGACTTGTGTCTGAATGATCAACAGTTGGGATCTCATATTGTACTTTCGCTAGAAGTAGAAGAAATGATAGCAGTAGTAGTTTTACATGTGATTTGAGTTCCAGTTACTCATTCCAGAGTGAAATTCTCTTAAAACTACACTCAGACCGAATAGTTAAACTCATTAATTTGGAATACAAAAGATACAGAGAAAAATCATAATCGTTTGACAAATTGCTTTGGGCCCGATTAGGGTGCAAGGCGGGGTCCAGATTGCTAAATGTTGACGTCACAGAACGTTGGATACATCTTGTTCAGCTGTTGGCACTAGCAATTTCTCAAACTAGTTCCCATATTGTTGCTTTCGTTGGACAATAATTAATGTAAGGGTCAGACTGGTCTCATTATTCCAGCAAGCTATGTCGTAGGTTGGATTCTTGAAGAGACCCTAGTTTGAGGACTTTTACATATAATTTTAAAACTACTGGTTTTAGGGTTTATGTTCATCATGCTTTTAGTTATATAGATAGAAAGCGAGTCACACATGACGCCATCCTCACTCACTCATGGTCATATTTACATGTCTTCATTGGTTAATACCACTGAACAGCTTTTCTGTTTCCCTGTAAGGATTTCACTCAATTGACCTAAAGACAATTGATGGATCATCAACCAGGCATTCAGAAACAATTTAAGAGAACTAGCTTTATATATATATATATATATATTCAACAATATTACGTATTGCTACAGTGCTACTGAAACCGAGTAAATAGACCTATCTACCATCTGGTCTGAGAATTGACTACAAAGAAAAAGCATCATTAACTAAGCGGCCTGCGACGATATGGGCATCATCTTAAAAGCGAGACTGAGAGAAAGAGTTACGGTGGACGGAAAGAAAAACACAGAATGGGTGGCTAGTTGAGTCTGAAGAGGGAGAGAGCCACCAGGCAGAGGAACGCCGTAGAGCCGACAAGGGAGAGAACAATGGCAGTGGTCATGTGCCGGCAATACGCGCTGAACTCATTGATGCAAACCTTCATCCACTGCACGTGCTCGTTCCCCTTCTGTCCTATCAGTCCGACTGCGGCCGCCGCGCCGTTGGCCGAGAACAGCAGAGCCATGATCACGAGGTCCCACATCGTCACCACCAACCTCAGTCTCAAGTTGTTCCCATTGTCGCTTCTTCTCGCCGCCACCTCCGTTATCACCAGAGAAGCTGCGCCGTAGCAGCACGCAATAGCGTTCGAGACCAGAAAATACCTGACCCAGTAACACACATGCACGTGTATGTATAGTGCGGAAGCTTACACTTAACTAAACTATATTAATCCAAGAGATGGAGACGAAGGTATAGAACTTACACAAAAGCTGACATGTATTTCCAGTGAGCAGTGACTTGGAAGTGAATGCCAGCGGAAAAGGAAATAGTCTTGGTCTCTTTGTCGAGGCCGACGATGAAAGCAGCGACGAGAGTGAGTGCGAGCGCGAGAAATCGGAGCAAGACACGGTAAGGCCTGACCCAGCTGGGAGGGGGAGTGTTCGACGGCTTGACATGAACGCCATCAATGGTGGTGGGCTGGTTCTGGCTGCCCATGTTGTTGCAGAAGAAGAGAAGTAAGATAGGAGAGGAAGGGGAAGGGGGTTGATATAACGAGGGAAGGAAGGATGGGTGGAGATTGCAGAGACGTTGAATGAGAAAGGTGGGGGAGTTGATTTGCATTGAAGCCTCATCGTACGGCCCTTACTCAATTCAATTGGCTATCCTCTCTGTCTCTGCGCTTCCCTCCAACTTCCGTCAGACCGTACTTCCAAATTTGTCATCGTCTCCTCAACTCATCACTTTTGCTTTCTTTAGATCAATAAACCCTTTTCCCACTCAACTTAACGCAGTTTATCCTTGTTTGCCCGGAAATATGTAGCTTCTTGAGAATGTAAATCTTACTTCAATTAAAATGGGTAGTTCTGAAATATAACAATTTGTTTGATAGATTTTATCAGTAGTTTCTATTTAACTTTTTATTCCTGAATTTGTGCACTTGTTATAAAATTAGACTAGCATTTTAAAAGCGAGGGAGTCTAACTACTAAGAGATAACAGTGCAAAACTTAGGAATTGTTTGGTTTTGTTCTTTTTTTAAAAAAATTGTAAATTAATTTTAAAAAATATATTTTTTAAAACAAAACAAAATAGAAAATCATTGGATTATGTTAGCATAAAATAATTTTAGAATTAAAAAAGATCAATAGTAGTGATCAATAGTAATTAATAATGATGGCATGGGATAGATGGATCGTAATTAAATATTATTTACAATGGTCAAATTTAATGCATTTTAAAAATTTAAAAATAAAAAATAAATAGCTCAAACTTATTTCCATTTTTTATTTTAAAAAATAAAAAGTGAGAATAATTTTGAAAATTTAAAATCCAAAAGAAAAATTAGTCATTTAGATTTAATTATAACTCAATATTTAAACTTTAACTCGTTGTAACTTTTATAATTTTAACTCAGTTATAATTAAATTTTTAAATTTTAACTCGATGCAATTCGATCTTTATAATTTCAATTTAGTACAACTTAATCTCTATATTTTGAGTAATTTAAAATATTGATCTCTTTATTTTAGAAAATAAAATTATAAATATTAAAATTATTTTGAAATTTAAGGTTTGATATTTTAAATTACTAAATTATAAATATTATAATTTTAAAATAATTTTATATTTATAATTTTTTTAAAAATATAAAGATTAATATTTTAAATTACCCAAAATACAGGGAGTAAATTATATCGAATCAAAAGTTTAAGAACTGATTATAATAAAATTGAAATTATAAAAACTAAGTCATAACAAAGTAAAATTTATATATTGAATTACTTTCATATCAAGCTGTAGAAACTAAATGATAATTTTCTCACACTGAACAAGACGATTTTTGTTTTTTTGAAAATATATCCTTAACTTGGGCTTGGTTTCATAATATAAATGAAATTTTTCTTATTACCAAAAAAAAAAAAGAAATATTTTTGCAACCGTAAATCTGAAGTACCAAAGACAGGCCGGGATAATTGTACACTTTCTCATTGTCGAAAATCTGAATTTTTACAACCGTAAATTGGGCATAACCAATGCATTTATTATAGGGGAAGTGACAGTTGCAATCCCTTCTAGAGAATTAATGACAGTTGTGGACCTCTAATTTTTGAAATCTCGTGAAAGGATCAAAGTCCTTCACTACAATTAAAAATAATTTCATTGGATTAAAATACTCCTCTAATTAAATTTAAAAAATGGAAGCATAAATTGGCTAAAAACGTTAAATTTAACCATGATTTAACAGCAGGAAAGTTAATAATCAGAATATGAAAAATGAGGATATTCATCCTTAGCAAAATGTGCCTTATCTCTCCTCGTGAGTCTTCACATAATGGCAGATGACTTTATTCTTTCATTCATGGAAGACGTTTAGTTTTCTGTTTTTCTGTTTTGTTTTGTTTTTTCATTCTTATAAAAAGAAAAATGAGGGTATTCTTTTTAAAGTTATAAGGAACCATATGCAACGGACTTCAAGCTCAAGGTACTATTTATATATTTGCCTTTATTATAGACAAAATTCGTTTTTTATTTTGGCATTTTCTTTCTATGGTGAACCAGATATGGTGGGCCACGCGACCTCCCATTTAAAATCAACACGTTTGAAACCAGGCCCAGCCCATTTCTGTTGTGGTTTTGTCATTTAAAGCTTAAAAAATGTCCAGCCCAGACCAAATATCAGCTTCATATCTCTGGACCGTAATCACCTTTCAATAGTGATGTGTTTTAAATATTAGGAAACACGTGGCAAGTTTATTGGAAACTTTACAACCATGGGGTCATGGTTGTAATTAATTAATTATTCCCTCCTTTCCACTTGAACAGCTGACTGGTAGCAACAATGAGCATGCGAGGAGGTTATGGGGTCCGCATCCGACATAGGGTGGTCGAGCCAGATTCTGAAATAAAAGCTGGTTTCTCAACATTAGTTAATCACAGTAGCAGTAGTAGTAATGATAATAACATTGTAAAAGAGAGGGAAAGGGAGGGAGAGACGGAGATGTCTGCAGAGTAATCTTCCAAACGTGGCCAATTTTACTGTTGGACTTATCTCATGCTAGCAATGAATTTCTCCTTCTCAATCATATAGATCATATACTATCTCGCTTTGGAATCAATGCCAGGTTCTTATCTATATTTTTGAGGGCATTCTAATTTATACTGCTTAATCAAGAAAATAATTGACTGCTCAGCTCCAAGTCACCAATTGATCCTCCCTTCTCGGGCCCACATCCCATGCTGGTTGTAACATGCTCCTTATGATTAATGGATAATTTAACCATAAAACCATTAAATTAACTACTGTGTAGAAAAGGAAGAAAGATAATTAAAAAAAATCTACCATAATATTAAAAAGGACTTTCTCAAAATTTGAAAAACTAATCATTATAATATAAAATTTATTAAGCCTTTAAAAATTAATTGTAGTTATAAAAGCAATTTAATTATCTAAAAACATTGATCATGATATAAAAGGTTTGATCATACATTCAAAGCAACTATCACGATTAATAAATGATTTTTTTTTAACTCTAATGATAGGGTTTGACTTAGTTTTAAAAAAGTTATCACGAATAAAAAAATTCCCTTCCAATCAATCATAAGAAAAACTATGAAAAAAATGTCCAAATCTGCTAACATGGTTAAAGAAAATAAACCCATGAATTACTATCAAAGCTATCTTAAGTATTCACAACTAATGAGTTTAGGGCAATTGAAACCCAACTCATATGGCTACCAGAAAGCTCAATTTTCATTCTCGAGTCACTTCACATGAACATACCTTTCACATTTTAAAATATTATTGTACTCAAATATCTCAACATGTGTGGATCCTCATAAACAACTACAAGTAGTTCTTATGGCCTCCAGCTAACCGCCAGCAAACAATCCTAACAACAAATAATTAACATTATTAAGTACATTAAAATTATTAGAGTATATGTGCATCTAAATATAGCAATATATAGTAATTCAACACATAAAAAAAAAGAGGAGGCAATACAACTCAATATAAGAATAAGTCTTCAAAACCTTCCTAATGGATCACCATATGAAGTTTTGCCTGTAAATTATTAAGCAATGAGAGTGAGACGATATCTCAATAACTAATAATTCTACCTATCATATGTACTAATATATGCTCGCAAGGTGCCAAGTGGGACAATTGTAAAACATTTAACCATTCAATCAATAATCATATGCTAATACATACTAATCATACATATCATGATGCAAGACCTCTAATCATCCATGCATGTACATATTTCTTTACTTGCACTATTATTTCAACCCTATTTAAACTTTGAAAAACATATCATATACAACGGAGGGCCTAAAATACACATTTAAATCAAATCAACTAATAGTGTAAGTAAGACAAAATAATATGATTCTTAGTTGGCAATTGTCTAATTGGAATACACATTTGAATCAGAGTATAAGAGCCCAAGTCCTAGGCCTTTAATGATTTTCATTTGCCTTAGCTTGAGCTAGTTCCTGTAAATATTAAAGAGAGATGGATGAGTACAATCACTTAATAATTAAGATTAATCTAGTCTATATAGATTCTGAAGTAAAAGCTGGTTTCTCAACATTAGTTAATCACAATAGCAGTAGTAGTAATGATAATAGCATTGTAAAAGAGAGGGAAAGGGAGGGAGAGACGGAGATGTCTGTAGAGTAATCTTCCAAACATGGCCAATTTTACTGTTGGACTTATCTCATGCTAGCAATGAATTTCTCCTTTTCAATCATATAAGATCATATACTATCTCGCTTTGGAATCAATGCCAGGTTCTTATCTATATTTTTGAGGGCATTCTAATTTATACTGCTTAATCAAGAAAATAATTGACTGCTCAGCTCCAAGTCACCAATTGATCCTCCCTTCTCTGGCCCCACATCCCATGCTGGTTGTAACATGCTCCTTATGATTAATGGATAATTTAACCATAAAACCATTAAATTAACTACTGTGTAGAAAAGGAAGAAAGATAATTAAAAAAAATCTACCATAATATTAAAAAGGTCTTTCTCAAAATTTGAAAAACTAATCATTATAATATAAAATTTATTAAGCCTTTAAAAATTAATTGTAGTTATAAAAGCAATTTAATTATCTAAAAACATTGATCATGCTATAAAAGGTTTGATCATGCATTCAAAGCAACTATCACGGTTAATAAATGATTTTTTTTTTAACTCTAACGATAGGGTTTGACTTAGTTTTAAAAAAGTTATCACGAATAAAAAAATTCCCTTCCAATCAATCATAAGAAAAACTATGAAAAAAATGTCCAAATCTACTAACATGGTTAAAGAAAATAAACCCATAAATTACTATCAAAGCTATCTTAAGTGTTCACAACTAATGGGTTTAGGGCAATTGAAACCCAACTCATATGGCTACCAGAAAGCTCAATTTTCATTCTCAAGTCACTTCACATGAACATACCTTTCACATTTTAAAATATTATTGTACTCAAATATCTCAACATGTGTGGATCCACATAAACAACTACATGTAGTTCTTATGACAATCCTAACAACAAGTAATTAACATTATTAAGTACATAAAAATTATTAGAGTATATGTGCATCTAAATATAGCAATATATAGTAATTCAACACAAAAAAAAAAAGAGGAGGCAATACAACTCAATATAAGACTAAGTCTTCAAAACCTTCCTAATGGATCACCATATGAAGTTTTGCCTGTAAATTATTAAGCAATGAGAGTGAGACGATATCTCAATAACTAATAATTCTACCTATCATATGTACTAATATATGCTCGCAAGGTGCCAAGTGGGACAATTGTAAAACATTTAACCATTCAATCAATAATCATATGCTAATACATACTAATCATACATATCATATGCAAGACCTCTAATCATCCATGCATGTA